TAATATAGATGAAGAGATAGCTTGTGTCCTAAATAGAAATTTTAATTTTTTTATTGAAATGATGAAATTAGTTGTCATAGAAACATAATAATAATTGTCGATTCCAAGTATTTTTCAACCGACTTCAAAAAGGAGGAGGTTCTCAATTCGACTGTATGTTTTTTTTTTTTATGTTTGTTACCTCAGAACTCCGTCATTTATTCTTTGGCTAAGTAATTAAAGCCTACCTATTAAATACATACCTAATCAAATATTTTCGAAATCGATGCCAGCCCATACAAAGCAAAGCACACCGACTTCGAAAATATTTGATTAGGTATGTAAAGTAAATGAAAACTACCAATCAGTTATTTTTCACTTTTTAGTGCTTTTGTTTGAAGTCGGTTTTTATTTTTTTGTTAAAAAGTTTTTTTTAGAATTCTATTCTACAATGATTATAGATTGACATCTCATCTAAGTCCCCTGAATGGCTTGTAACACATAGGGTTAGTTTTTAATTTTTATCTAATATACTATGTAATATACCTAGTTCTTATAGTGATTCTTCTCCTAAACGGTTTGAGTGACTTTGATGATTTTTTTGTATACTCATGGGGTCACCTGGATGATTCTCAGCTACAGTAGGTGGCGCTGTTGTCGAGGACTGGGTATACAGTTTTTAATAAAACTAACTCTTACTCGCCAGACATCTTAATGGGGACTTAATGAATGTCAAAGTTAGACGTATGAGTGTGATAGTATGAGACCACTCATATTGAGGGGCTGCGCATCGGCACCTTCTACTTGCTTTAACCACGCAAGTGACACAAATATCAGCCCACACTTTAGCCGCCGCGCCGTGACTTTCACCACTATCTTCCTGTTTGGAGACTAGACACCTTTTCTTTTTAACTTGGGGAAATGCATTTACGCACGAAGTGTAGGACTCACCGGCAAAGCCAGCACTACCCACTAAAACCCAACAAAACCTTCCCCCGTCTTAATGGGGCGTCGCAGGATCGCTTACGCATTCAACTACGACGCCCCGACGGCAGGTCTGCCGAAGCAGACCACAACAACCACGGGGTTGCTCCAAGATCCACTCTGCTATCAGAGAAGTACCAGGAGCAAACCGCATGGTACACCGCCCTCCGAAGAGGGCCACCTCCCACAGCCCACCGAAGTGCGCCACCTACCTGTGCGTCTTTTGGCTTCGCGCCCGGTTGGATTGCCGGGCACTACTGAGCCCCCCCACCACGACAAGGTGAACGCACGTTGGGGGGGCGGAGACTAGACACCTTCTACCAACTAGTCCCCATTTGCTTACGAATATTTGTTTACATTCCCTAACTATAATAAACCTATTATTAATAATTTAGCTATTTCTTTGTAAAATAGGTAAGCAGAGGCCCTCGATGCGGCGCGCGGCCCCTGTCATAAAGATCAATCAACTCAAGAATCAACAAATCAAGATAAATTAGATAGACCTTGGAGTTCGTGACTGAATTGTATTACGTCTCCAGATAGTTCGATACCTTCACATAAATACTTATTTAATAAGAGGGCGGACAGAATATAGAAAGGTTAACGTCATAAAACCTTACGGGATGTACCTAGTCAATGTTTTGCCGACTTCAAGAAAAGGGGACGTATTCAGTTTGTAAGGCATATTTTTTTCTTTTTGTGTGTATGACAAGGTGGTATTTTTAGCAATTGAGACGCAAAATTATTCTTATTTTAAGCATTTATTCTTCGAAGTGGAATAGTTACTTCTGTTTAATGTAATTTTTAAGTCAGTGTCCCTTTTGAGTACTAAAACACTAGCATGTGAAAGATAGAGAGAGAGAGAGAGAGAGATAGAAAGATAATTACAAAGTACATTAATTTATACATATTATTTGGACAATAAAGCCTGTGATACTTAGAAATGAAGACGCTTTTCAGTCAGTTCAGTACATTTTGATACCACCTCCTCAGAATAGTGTTAGATTTCTGCTTGCCTCAAGACTACTTCAAAATAAAATAAAGATCAATGTAAAATAAATTTTAACATATAACTTTAACTAGGCAACAGAAAAATATCTATAAATCAACTGTGCTGTTTCTTCAGAAGACCGCGGCAATTTCTGTCCACCCTCGTAGTAGTCTTAACTTTCAGCTTAACATTGTGTAATCATTTTTAACTTGGATAATTTCCCTACAGAATACACTGACAGATTAAACTCAGTGCTATACGAGTATAGAGTCCGACGTGACATATTTTAAAATATCAATTACATATATAATATAAAACATGTAAATACATATATGGGTAATATGTAGGTAGGTATGTGTACTAGAAACTTATGCTTGGTTCTCTCGGATGTGTCCCTAGGTGTCATTAGGCCAAATATTTTTTTACTTTATATATGTATATATTTACCTTGACGAGATAGTATTACGTCAGAATATTCTGAAGATATAAATAAAACGGAGTTTCGTATTCAATACAATAACTCGGAAATGTAAAAATGTGAATTTAAAATTATTATATTAAACTAACTTCTTATTTATTCTTTACGAAAAAAGCTTACATAATCTTTTAATATTGGTTAGAAAAAGATGCCTTAAATTTGGTGAAAATTATGATTACGGTTAAATATAAAAAGAAATGAGAATGACGAGATTACGTTTTAAAAATAATAACAATTTACAATCGTAAGCGACGCGGAGAGCTCCCAGCTCGCGCCAACGACTTGGACGAATTGGTGTTGGCCGCTTTGTTGTACGACTCTTGTGTCATTTGTATTTGATTACGCATAATATTTACTTATCCTCATTCTTCGTACTTAGCATATTCCACTGAGGAGGAGGGTTCTACTTAAATAGAATATGTAACGATTTGAATGCGTATGAAGCATTTTGAAATATAAATAAAATACGTGGGTACGTTTTAAATAGATATAAATAGTTACTAGCCAGCGTTAGCCATATAGATTTTAATTTTGTTTTTATTAATTTTTCTGATTCTTTAATACTTATTGTCCTATTACGGACTAAGAAAAATCCAAAAAAAATCTAATATCATAAAAATTGGTCCAGCCGTTCTTGAGTTATAAATGGTGTAACTAACACGACTTTGTTTTATATATATATATATATATATATATATATATATAAAACAAAGTCGTGTATAAATATATAATAAGAAAATTTTATTTGAACTCTCTTACATCTATTATTATAGTATATAAAAATATAGCAATCAGAGCTGCAATAAACTGAACATTAACTATAAATTAAGAAGTATAACATGTCACAAATATTAACCTAGTATAAAATATTATTTTAGTTATTTACTTTTTTTTGTTACTACGTTACGTTAGTTATTCCTTCACGCTGAAACGGCTGTACGGATTTGGATGAAATTTAGTACATAAATAGACAATGGCCTGAAATAGCTCCTAGAATATATAGTAAACTATCAGCTCACTCTCGCTTCGCTCGGGTTCGCCTCTAGAAAAACAAATACAAGTCTATCCTTCGGGAACCGTATATTTTTCCGGGATAAAAAGTATGTGTTATTCCAGACTAATAATTAATCTGTCTCTGTGCCAAACATCCAGATCCGTTCAGCCGTTCTGGCGTGAAAGAGTAACAAACATCCATACATACTCACAAACTTTCACATTTATAATATTTATACCGATTAGCCTAAAGTCAGCGCTATTTGCATATATGTAATATTATTAATACCAAAACCACACATGGACACGCCAAGCCACGCGAGAGAAAGGCGCTAGTAATATAAATAATCCTTCCGACCGATTCCGGCCACGGCGGCCAATCTCACTGATACTAGCCAGTGACAATATCTTGACAGAAATGCTATTGAAGCTAGAAAAAGAACTTAGCCCGACCCTGGAGTCGAACCCAGGACCTCCGGATCTAGCGCCGTATATGCTAACCACTACACTACCGAGGCCGAGAACCGAGCAGTTCCTAGTAAAGAGTAATTACACGGAGAACTAATAATTGTAAGACACAATTTTGTGCGCAGTTCAAAGTAACAGTGACATAACTGAAGCCTCGAGCGACCACAATGCCAGTAGCGCTAACTTATCGGTCGGTATTAATGGTCGTCGCGGGACTCGCGGCGCTATCTCGGACTCCGTTGCTTGGCTTTAACAGTCTTTTTTGTTGTATTCTGTTTTTATTGTCGATAGAATGCTTAGTTTAGTATTAAGTATATAAAAATGCATTGAATTCGTCGACTTAGAATTAACAGCTTTTTAGTTGAACTTCGCAATACACTTTTATAGAAGGAATACGGCTGTTCAATTGACTACAAATGTTGCTTATGAAAACTAATGATATATTTGACATTTCTGTAGACTTCCACATAAAACTTTGGAATTGTTTTCTAATATTGTTGTTATGTTTGACGACGCATGTGGCTCAGTTGGTAGTGATCTTACTTCCTGTGCCAGCGGTCGCGGGTTCGAGTCCCGCTGGGTGCATTCATTTGTGTGATGAACACGAATGTTTGTACTCCAGTCATGGGTGTCTATATTTATAATATGTATGTATTTAAAGTTATATATGTGTAGTGTATGAACTATCTGGTATCCAAACACAAGCCTCGTAGCTTACCCTGGAACTAGATGGTGCTGTGTCTTTACGTCCCAACATATTTATTATTTATTATGTACGTAATTATAAAAATAAGTCTTAAAATAACTTCATAAAGAGCGAGATTCGTATGAAATTTTTCAGGAAATTTTCAGGTAATCTTCAAATTTGCCCAGCGAGTGATCCTGTGAAGTTTGGTAGCGACCAGATGTTTGAGCGCGGGCAAAGCCACGGGTACTACTAGTTACGTCATATATTATTAGCATTGCCTCGTTGGTTCGGTGGCTCATTCGTAACGATATCCGAGAAATCCTGTTCAGACTCTCAGAGTCCCGAGACGGGTGAAGTATTAGTAGTTATTTGGTAAACTAAATATCGGCCAAGAAATTCTCAGTAGCATTCCGGAGTTAGGGAGTTGATGGTGTTGAACCTTCGTATCTAGGAGGAGCACGTGTCGCGTCGGTCGGCCGTCGTTGGTCTTCAGATCGGTCGTTCAGGAATACAAACAAGAATATATTCCAAAGAAATCTGTGCAAAATAGTATTTGGTAACACATATGTTATTCATCATATTGAAATAGATTTTATTAAAAATTAAATTAAAAAAATATGTTTTTGTATTTTGATAATTTACTTGATCAATTCAGAAAAGTTATCAGTTATGAGCCCTCTGAAGTGGTAACTCCTATAATAAAACTAATTTAAATTAAATTCTTTTAAATTTTTACAATAACGAGGAATAACAAAGTTATTTTAACATAAATATAAGGAACGTATTTTTATTGCCTAGTTTAATTTGAGCGGATTCAAAATACTAAATCAAGTAAAAACCTTTCAAAGTGTCTCAAGAGTCGATAATTACATTTTTATTTACAAAGGGTCATGAGGTGTAATTGCGAGGTCTCCGCCGCCGCGGGCGAGTGGCGTCATTACTCGCACTCCCGAGGGATCTTGTAGCATCTAGCAAGTTTAATATGTCTCCTGTGGTCGGAGCTGCTGCTTCCACCCCTCACTGTACACTGAATTACTTTGATTGTATACGTAAAAGTGCTTTGAGTACACTTAAAGAATTAGTACGATGATATGATCGACTTTCTACGAGTACGTAACTTACTATGTACCCACTCTAGATTTGCAGAAAAAAAAAGGGGTTATAGAAAGAGCCCTCGCATGTTACACGTACACGTATAGCCTTCTCGTTATGTAACAATATTGTTTAAAACTTTATCGAATTGCCAAAAACGTAGCATTAATATTAATAATTTCGTTCAGTTCCGAATAGTATGATTATTTTTAGAAGGTACATAATACATATTATGTAAATATCTACTTTTTATAAAATATTCTATTTAAGTTCATAATTTTTTGATACAGTCACGTTGGTTTATACAAAACAAAACAATACACTAGATTTATTAAAACGACATGATATCACCGAAACTATCGAAAATGAATATATTACATTATTTACCCTTTTTTTTTCTTAATCTAACCAATCTTCTAAAGCACGATCTTCGTATAGATTTTAACTTAAAAATATTGTGAAGTTAAGTAAACAACAAAGTTGGTAACGTCAAGTATTGAATAAGTATAAGAGTTAATATTCCGATAGCTGGCGACGAATTTTGGGAAGATCCTTTTGGCAAGTTGAAATTGTGAAAAAATATAATTTCGTGAATTGGCGAGACCAGTCCTGCGAGTCTGGTATAGCTTTAGCGGTTATTTCGCTACTGCGCAGTATACAACATTTGCAAAAAAAATATCCAAAAAACATATTTTTGGAAACTTGATTTTTGTTTAATCCTTTAATTTAGCTTTCATATAATTAAAAAAAAATCCTAGACGTTTTTGTCGGTTATAAAGTATTGCCAGACCTCTCCAAAGACTCATTTTTTTTATTCCAAAAAACATACTTTTGGCAATCAGAAATTTTAATCACGTATTTATTGAGTAATTTTCAATAATATTTACAAATCGCCAGACGAATTTAGCGGTTTTAAACCCTTTCCAGACGTGAATAAATTTTACAAATTAGTCCTACAAAAAAGTCTTTTTAGGTGTAAGAAAGATAGCTTATCGAGGTATGCCAGCAGCTGATGGGGGCCCAAGGTCCTCGCGCTGTGATTGGTTATCGAGAAACCGCATGTTTCGAGTATGGTTCGGGCTCTGCGTTCATAACAGAGTATTTTAGAGTAGCTTATTAGGGTTCCGTACCCAAAGGGTAAAACGGGACCCTATTACGAAGACTCCCCTGTCCGTCCGTCTGTCTATCCGTCTGTAACCAGGCTGTATCTCATGAACCGTGATAGTTAAATAGTTGAAATTTTCACAGATGATGTATTTCTGTTGCCGCTATAACAACAAATACAAAACAATAGAATAAAATAAATATTTAAGGGGGCTCCCATACAAAAAACGTGATATTTTTGCTATTTTTATAGATAATGGTACGAAACCCTTTATGCGCGAGTCCGACTCGCACGTGGCAAGTTTATATTTTTTTTTTAATTGAGAATTAATTAAAAATGTATAAAATAATAATTACGCTTGCACAATACACAATACAATTGGCAAATATATTTTTGGCAACTCGATTATTGTTTATTTTTTTAAATTAGGACTCGCGCATGAAGGGTTTCGTACCATTATCTATAAAAATAGCAAAAAAAATCACGTTTGTTGTATGGGAGCCCCTTTAAATATTTATTTTATTCTATTGTTTTGTATTTGTTGTTATAGCGGCAACAGAAATACATTATCTGTGAAAATTTCAACTGTTTAACTATCACGGTTCATGAGATACAGCCTGGTTACAGACGGATAGACAGACGGATGGACAGGGGAGTCTTCGTAATAGGGTCCCGTTTTACCCTTTGGGTACGGAAACCTAATAAGCTACTCTAAAATACTCTGTTATGAACGCAGAGCCCGAACCATACTCGAAACATGCGGTTTCTCGATAACCAATCACAGCGCGAGGACCTTGGGCCCCCATCAGCTGCTGGCATACCTCGATAAGCTATCTTTCTTACACCTAAAAAGACTTTTTGTAGGACTAATTTGTAAAATTTATTCACGTCTGGGAAGGGTTTAAAACCGCTAAATTCGTCTGGCGATTTGTAAATATTACTGAAAATTACTCAATAAATACGTGATTAAAATTTCTGATTGCCAAAAGTATGTTTTTTGGAATAAAAAAAATGAGTTTTTGGAGAGGTCTGGCAATACTTTATAACCGACAAAAACGTCTAGAATTTTTTTTTTAATTATATGAAAGCTAAATTAAAGGATTAAACAAAAATCAAGTTGCCAAAAATATGTTCTTTTGGATATTTTTTTTGCAAATGTTGTATACTGCGCAGTAGTGAAATAACCGCTAAAGCTCAATAACAGATTCGCTTAATAACAGATTCGCGGGACTGGACTCGCCAATTCACGAAATTATATTTTTTCACAATTTCAACTTGCCAAAAGGACCTTCCCAAAATTCGTCACGAGCTCTCGGGCTATAATATAATTTGAGATTCTTTACCGAACAAGTAACTGTTATGAATTGTGATTGCGCGCTGATCGCGTGTGGGACCGCGCCTCATTACATCCCCCGCGAGAGCTCCCAACGTCCACTAAATTTACAAAGTCTTCAGATCTACGACATTAACTTTGTTATCTTCATCTATATCTATTCATTGGTAGAGAACATTTTAACATATTATATAGGATACTTAACTGTAAAAATTAAGATATTTAGGTGCAGTATAAACCCTTAATATCTGAGTTAGTTGCTTTACATATGGAATTTTAATACTTAGACTACGAGAATAAAAATATAGGTTAGGTACCTATATTTTTATTCTCTCTCTTTCTCTGTTTCTTTCGCCAGTTTTTCTCAGGTCTGAGGTTTCTTCTTTCCGAACTAGTAGTAGACTCATGACGTTCAGTAAAAAATTGTAATAATTTAATGCAGAGTAAATATTTTGAATTTGAATTTGCTCGTACTAAAGGTTCTCACCATCGCTTCGCTTGGGTTCGCCTTTAAAAAAACACGAACAAATCTATCGCACGAGAACCGTATATTTTTCCTGGATAAAAGTAGTATTGTGCTATTCCAGACTATAGTCTATCTCTGTTCCAAATTTCATCCAGATCTGTTCAGCCGTTCTGGCGTGATTGAGTAACCAACATCCAAAAATCTAAACTTTAACTTTAATTTTTGGGTTCAGTCACTGGCTTTTACACGCTCCGTATTATATTATATTCTTTTTATGAATACGAGTATAAATCATAATAAAAAAGCGTCTAGCTCTTATATAAGAATAGTAAAATATTCCTTTACCACAGTAAGCTATTTGAAATATATAAATCCATTTCCATTTGCAGATTCCGTGGAAATCTAGAGAGATGTCAAAAGCCACGAGTTCTCAGTATACATTTATACGTTGCTGCTATAATAATTATCTAATAATTATTTTTATTTATATGAATAATAAACCTAGTTTTATAATATTTCAGGGTAAAGTTTGCTTAAACGTATTGTTATTATAAGCGTAAAACGAACTCTATCTCGGCCGCAATACCTCGCCGTTATACTCGTAGGTTATAGCCGCGAGTGCTTTCTCTACCCATCCCGATAGCCATCTATTAGGTTCAAGTATAGCTCGGGTTGGAATTTTCTTCATATGCATAACATTATACGTGTGTAAGCTATACTTTGTGAATACGCGATAAGATAATTAAAATAAAGCGAACAATTTTTTCTCAGATGGTGAAAGTGTTTTGAAAGCTTTGTTATTTCCATTTAGTTTAATTACAGAAAATAGAATACTCTACTAGGTTAGGTCATTGATAGCAGTCGATTCGTTACCACAAAGTAAGAAACTAGAAATAGCTAAAAAGAAATTATTTTTAAAACTGTTCTTTTGAAAAGCACCATCGTAAATGTCTGCACAACGCGAATATATTTCAAATATTCCCTCCGGCCTCATTGTATGTATATTGCCTGCACACATCCGACGCGGCGACCTGATTCAGTAACAAATATCCTTACAAAGTTGCCAAAACCCACATTAGTGGAATCGCAGTGAATTCAATATATTTTCTGGTAAATGCTTAAATATACTGCGACAGTGCGACACGAGACGGTGCGAGAGACGGAATAGCCAGTGAACAAGGACATCGACCGTAAATTGCCATTTCGGTCATCTCGTGCGACCGGCGGCTGCTTTATTATACTCGCCAGGGTCTTCGCATTTAATTCTGGCCTTTGTGTGGCCGCGCTTATTATATTATATGGCGTATTTGTTTTGTTGGAACGAGGCGACAAAGTTTAGCGCCTACTCTACAATGTACTGTAGAACTCATAAGAAATGCTTCGTGCAATAGTTTATTTCTCTTAATAAAGATTCAATGTGTGGCGTCTTCCGTTTATTTTAATCACAGTAACATTGATAAGCAGATTTGTTCTATAATTAAAAAAAACTATTAATTATTTATTATTAATATTAATATAATATATATTATTATGTTCGCATTTACAAGGTTACACAAGAGAAATGAGCTCACTTAGGTCGCTCTGATAATGTTATTTTATTAGTTAAGGCTTTACGATACTGAAAACTGTTTACATATTCTTTAAAATATTCAGTGAAGTATTTTTAATTTTATTTTTATTATTATTAAAATTTGAAACCTACAGTAATTGTTCAATTCAGATGAATAATTTATAAATTGATTTAATATAAATTAAGGGAATATAGCATTCTTTTAACATGTTTATTAAATCTGAAAGTGTGCTTGGCTGGTTTTACTTTTACGCAACAATAGGGCCAAAGAGCGACACTTTTCATGCCGATATGTTAAGTGGTTGTCCCATCTGGGTCATACCATATATTACGTAAGTTTCAAGTAAAAAACTTTTAACTTGTAACAAAAAAATAAAAATCGACTTCAAACAAAAGCACTAA